TTGCACGTGGAATCATATTGTTATATTTCTTGTACCTATGAGTCCAGAATAGAATCAGTTTCCCACAAATCTGAGGGAACCTTTTTTGGTTGTTGATCTTTCCCCATAGTGCCAGGGTTACCTTCTTTAAGCATAAAATTTTGTGAGGGGAAGATGATCATCTTTTTAAAAAGTGTTACAGATGTTCTACTTTTTAAAATAGAATGCACTAAACCTGGTAACCTTGGCCATTGCTGAGGGGAGAGGGTTATTGTTTTTTTTATTTTGTTTTGGGTTCAGTCTGCACTTTACAGTTTCCCTGTCTTTACCACTGTGATCAGCATCTTAGCTTCTCTACGGAGAAAGGGTAATAACTGTGTAACACATAACGGTGAGAGCTGGAGGCGGGGGGTCACTCAAGACTGATCTTGAAGCTATATTTGGAGAGGAAGCACTGTTTTCCCTTATCCACAACCCTGGAAACAGATATTTTCAGCATTTTAGAATGTCTGGGACTTCAGAAAGATGATGTGGTGCTTACCCTGTATATGACTTACACCCCAGAGGGGTTTGGAGAAGCATCCCATAGTCAAATACATTATCATTTCTGTAGTAAAACTAATGTTCACACATGGAGGGAGAAAGGAAGACTATAAATGGCTTTTTATCAGTTCAAGTCAGCTTAATACTTCCAAATGAGTTTTGGCATCAAGTTTATAAAAAAACAGATAGGAATTGTGGACTTGAATATTTATTTGATGCCAACTGAGAAAAAAGGCTGCAAGAATTGAGGAGGGGTTTGCTAAAGCCATCATATCAGTCCCTTGGTGTTCCCACTGCCAGTGATCCACTTACTCAAATCCGTCATGGTCTTGGAACATAAGTAGCCAAACTTTTTATAACCATACATAAAAGAACACGAACTTACATGAGTGGAAATTGCTATTTTGACTTATTGGAGGGGATTTTTTTTCTTCAATTTCTAATACTCAATGGAGTAACTATCTTCTCATGGATATCATTATAGCACCTGAAGGCAAATTACATATACGTCATACTTCCTTATAGCCTATTACCAATGCCAACTCAATATATGTATACAGTAAGTGCTCATCGATCTTTGTTGAATTAATTTTTAAATCTTGTTTTAATTACTTATTGGCAATAATTTATTGTCTTTTATTTTTTTAAAGAATTCTACTGGCCCATCATTCCATTGGAATACACCTAAATAATAACTTTAGGTTTCTCATGCAAAACAGCTACTCAATACGTGTTGCTGAATCCAATCCATGCCACTGCCTGAAGAGGCAGGTGCCCCTTCCCAG